GGACACCCTGTACGATTTCATTATGTATGTATTTTAATGACTAGTTCATATTTAATGACCTATTAAATAGTTTTAAATAATATAATATATTTTATAATCAAGAATAAAAATTTTAACTATATATATTTATTTTATTTTATTATATTCAGAAATATGTTCCCTGATAATATTGTGGGCGCTTTGATAATGCAACAGTATACTGGACTAGTGCCTATTGATTCAACAAATGCCACGATGGGTACTAAAAAAGTAACCGAGCACATATTCAATACAAACTTTATCGGCATGTGCGTGTTTGGTTTTATACTTGGTTTCGCAATGTTACTATTGGGCGACAAAGTACCTGGTACAAAGCAAGCGTTAAAAGAAATTGACTTGCTTATCATGCAAATAATACACATACTCATGAAGTAATTAAAATATTGTATTAATTAATTGATTAATTTTAAAAATATTTAATGCTACTTGTCTATTTTATTTTTAAAGGATATTTCCCATATTAATTATATACTTTATGGTACTGAGTGGTATTAAACTACGCTACCCAAAACGACTTATTACCCAGTTGCTACATTTCTACGCAATCTCAATTGTCGGATTTGTCATATTACTATTCGTTATACACGCCGGGGTCTATTTAATAGTAGTACGCAAAAATCCCATTATTTTCTATAAGAAAATAAGCCCGGCTATTTTGTTAGCCTTTGCCACGGCATCAAGGTATTTAAAAATAAACATTTTGAATGCCATTTTAATATTTTATTTAAACTGACCAGTGCAATTACGTTACCCGTCACTATTGAGTCAATGGAAAACAACGTGAAACTACCGACAAATGTAACCCGATTTGTGTTACCAATGGGAATGAATCTCCATATGAATGGATTCGCGCTGTACTACCCGACAGTGTGACCAACTCAAGTTTTGTAATTAGTGGACATTTTGATAAAATAATTGAATAAATAGATGACAAATAGTGGACAACATTTTATTATAGTGGAATTGAATCTAAAATATTTTGACTAGTTTTGTCATTAGTTTTTTTACATAATTCAATATATATTTGATGCACTTAAATATAATTTTGTTAAATAATAATGTATTTTATTATGATTATAATGTGAAATTCAGTGTATATTTAAGTTTTATGCTGCAATTATTTTTCTAAATTAAATATTTTATAATTTTCACAAATATAGGACATTCAATGTCCACTATTTCTCCTTTAAAACTCAGAGGACAGACCCCCTAAATAGAGGACTGTCCTCTCCAATAGAGGACGGTTGGTCACACTGCTACCCGATGGTCATCCTATTTGTCGCGCAAATGCATGGCATGGATATCACTGCCCAACAGATGGCAATACTTATGTATAATTTTTATTTTAAAATAACTATGATTATATTAATTTTATAAGTATGCGTACAGAATTATGACCCTGATAATGACCGTTGCCATACCGGCTATTTCATCAGGCAAGGCTGTAATAATTACATTTGTCGCATTTTGTACGTCAGTGGGCATTGAGAATCCATTAGACGTGCTTGCTTACATTACTGCCACCGATTGGATTATGTATGTTTAGTATTATATTTTTAAAATTAGGTTTTTGGGTATTTAATTTATTTTATTTAATTTTTTAATTATCAGGAGTCGATTGCGAACCGCGACTAATGTGATCGGGGACTGTTTTGTAGCCGCGATTGTTGCAAAATATTACGGTGACAATATTGAACAGTTGGCCAGTGTTGTGTAATAAATAGTAATTACTAGTTCAAAGCAAATTTAATTAAAAACATATTTAAAAAATAAACCTACAAAATACTTGTATATTTTTTAAATGCTATGTTATTTCCTTAGTTAGATATTTTAATTAAAATAATTTTATCTATTTATTATATAATTAAAATTTAAATAATTATAATTTGAGGCTAAATAGTGCGGACACGGGTTTATGGTCAGACTGTATGTACTGCGTGTGAGACTTATACGATACTTGCTTCAAATCCAACTGTTGAGTGGCGTTAGTGTCAGGCTTTAACCGATATAACACGCGGTCAGTAAAGGCAGGTTTACGTGACCTCTCGCGACCTCTATATTAAAAATATAACATAAATGAGAGAGAGAGAGAGACTAAAAGTCACATACTTATAATCATATTCATTAGAGTTAGGAACAAATTTATAGGTGGGTGCGAATGTAGGTACAGCCTCACTAAACTCCCTAAACACACGGCCCTCCCGTCTAACACGTGTTAACTAAAAATTAAAAAATATTTTGAAAACCCATTGATTTCGCGTTTAATCAAAAACCTGGTCTTTTTCTAATAGATCGGCAAAACTATCGCCCGATTGCCGTCGGTTTAACACAAAGTCGTGGACCTCATCGGCAGTCATATCGTCGATGCGGAAGTTTAGGTCACCCATCCATAGCACGTAACTGATCCGGGTATAAAATTAATCTTAATATCCTGTATCTACACAACAAACCCACTTTTAGATTATTTGTGATCCAAAGGCTTTATCCAAGGTTTACAAAAATTTTAGAGCAAACATTGGATAAAAGCTTTAAACTTACAATTAATCTAAAATGTTTGTTTTGTATTGCAGCATCAGATATATTATAAACTATAATTATAATTATAGTAAACTATTTACTCGTGGCTTAAAATGTTTTGTCTATCGACGATATCGTTATAATTAGCTATACGTTGTTCCAGATATTCGTCGTGAGGGTGGAAATGGCTGTTCACTATACACACCGACACACCATTCACTGTCAAACGGACACTAACCGCCCCTTTACTTCCCTCCGGGCGCCCAATATTTGTGACATCAGTCTATAATTAGTAAAAATAATTAATTTTGTATTCATTACAATATATTTAACAGGGTTCATTCAATAAGTATGTGCGTATAACTTTAATTTAGTTGAAAAATTACATTCATCATAATGTGACATGCAAGTTACTTAACAATTATAAATTAACTACTTGCTAATTGATTAGGCTAATTTAATAATAAGCTATATTATACGTACGTACTTATTAAATGAACACAAATAACCTGGATCCCACAATAACCTGGACAGATGTGAAATGCGATAGCTTGTTGCTTTTCGCGTAGACTAGTAGTATAATGCCGTTCATTTGGGCCCTTTCTAAATGGCTATACCCCACTTGATCAAGCACCTTACTAAAACCTTTAGCCCATGTATGCTCTGTGGGTATCTCAGTGTTAATTGTCTCAAAGGGCACCTCCTGGAGGCCTATGGCGTATATGTCGGCTAATTGGTGGCCATTAGCACCGGTAGTTTCAATACCAAGCAATTGAATTAAATCAGATTGACATTGCTCCATTGCTACATTCCACGTAATCATTTGTATGCTAATAAAATGATAAAATAAACAAGGAATATTTAAAATAATTATTTAGTAGTTAAATATAATACATACCTCAAGTCAGTTAACATGTTAGCTATCTAATGATTTAAATATTATTTTATTTTATGAAAATTTTACAAGTTTATTTTAAAAATTTTAAGTTCTATTTATTAAACTTTAATTTTATTGAATAAATACAATATAAATTTTTTATAAAATATATTTTTGATATAAAATACTGAATTGTTACAATATTTAACACAAGTAACTAATGTAAACACAGCTATTCACACATCCACATATACAACAAGTCTTATTTATGTTTCAAATTCAGTATAACACAACAAGGTCATTTATTGACGTAGACAACTTTATCTAAATTATCTAACAATGTTTTACAGTAATATCAATGATAAATATATAAAAATTTATATACAATAGCCTACTATAGTGACATCGTTGGTGTGAGAATGAGATTAAAATAACAATTAGATTTTGATAATGTTAAAAAAGTTATTATTTTTTTATACAATTAATCGATAATTATAAGGATAATGATAATATTAATAAATTATTAGTAATAAAATTTATTATTAAAACTACTTATTATTAAACAAGTCGAAATATAAAGTGTTTGCCAAAAGGGTGCATAATGGTTTATTTAGTATTAAAAATCGTAGAATTGAGCTAGAACAAAATAAAATTTTTTGCAACTATTGTTTTTCGGCACCAATCCATCGGTATGCCCAATTTTATCCGGACTTAAGGATAGAATTGAGCTAGAACAAAATAAAATTTTTTGCAACTATTGTTTTTCGGAACCAATCCATCGGTATGCCCAATTTTATCCGGACTTAAGGGGAACGGTAGATATGACTGTCCATCAATAGCTCAAAGACTATAAGATGTAGGTAAAATCTGATTTATGGAAATTGTGCACAGGGTCAATATGAAAAAACTAATTTTTGGATTTTGAGAAATTGTTCCTTATTAATTTTTAAAAATTCTTTATTTGTGAAATTGTGATGATTTGAAAACCATTAATCTCAGCAATGACCCAATGGATCTGGGTGATCTCAACTTTGTTGGAATTGTCTTTCAAAATACTAAAAATTATTTGCGTGCACCGATACTATATTTTGTGCACATAATTTTCTAGGTTAAAAATCAATTTTTTCTATGTATTGTGAAAATACAGGTAAAGGTGTATTACAATAAAACAGGTATAAAATAAATACATAGAGAAAATTGATTTTTAAACTAGAAAATTCTGTTTTTGAAACCAGAAAGAAAGTTTTTGAGCTATTGATGGACAGCCATATCTACCGTTTCCCTTAAGTCCGGATAAAATTGGGCATACCGATGGATTGGTGCCGAAAAACAATAGTTGCAAAAAATTTTATTTTGTTCTAGCTCAATTCTACGATTTTTAATACTAAATAAACCATTATGCACCCTTATGGCAAACACTTTATATCGATGTAAGAAATTAATTAAAATTGACATTTGTGCTTTCACAATATAAACTCAATATAAAGTCTACTAGTACTCAGTGTACTCGGAAACTTAGTGTACTATTATCCCAATAATTTTTATAATGATTAAATACACGAATACCAAGGTCTTAATAACAGTGTTAATAATGGTAATGTTTACGTATCAATCAATAGACCAAACAATAAATTACTTAAAATATGAAGTGCTTAATGAGATGCTATACGACCCAAACTCCCCATACTTTGTGTACAACTCGTCCATCACTTTGTGTTTCAATAAATACTATTCACGAGAATTCCGGAATCAATCCAATTATGAGTATTGGCGGTCCATAAACTTCTGGTGCTCATCCCGGGGCAGCGCCTACCCTATCAACGATTGCGTAGACATAGCCCCGGTATACATACGGCACCGACGGGACGGTAGTTTTTGTTTCACCTACCTAAATGACTACAATCACCAACAGGCTATACACCCGTTTTGGTTGGTATACATAGCAATGCAAACGGACAGTAAGATTGACGTGACTGTTAATACACTCTATGATTTATCACATTTCACCAAAATGACCTCGCTAGTTACGAACTCTAGTGAGGATATCATTATAGACGCTAATTTGCAACAACTATTACCCCGACCATATCGTACCGATTGTTACGATTATGATCGCAATCGTCGGGATCCCGGAAATGGTGGACCAAAATCACGGGACGACTGTATGTTACGATTAATGAGTGGTTTAGAGCTAACCAGTTGCGGGCATAACCTCTACTGGAATTCACAACTTTACACAAATGATCAGAATCAATTTGTTATTAATACTACACAAAATGCAAGTTGTTTTAGCATGCCAAATTATCAGTGGCTATATGATAAATGTAAAATTGGGTGCAATTATTATTTCACCAGCATCGGAATACACGAACTTCAAATTAATGAGCAAGTACAGGGATTGCCTATTAAAACATTAAGCTATTCGTATGGGAGACGGATAAACATGTTGTGGAAAATGAGTCCCAAAATGAATATAACTGTTTATTTGTCGTCCATAGGGGGACTACTGGGCATGTATTTGGGATATAGTTTATATGGAATTAGTATTGCCCTTATGGAATCGCTTGGAAAACATAACATGGTCACTTTAAATGTGAATAGAAAGCGGAAAATGAATTTCATTTTTAAATATACCAAAATAATTCTTTTAATTGTTTGTTTGTGTTTATTTAATGTTCGTACAATTATTAAGTATTTATAAGTTCTATAGGAGTTCCAATGTTAAAATTAATATCGAGTTCCACAATCGACAACGAATTCCGGCAATAAGATCTTTGTACTTTAATTATATTAATAATATGACACTGCTTGCACAACTTTACCCAGGTTACTACGAACAAATTATGATGTTTGATCAGGAAACCGACTTGATTATTAAATTTGGATTGATCATCGAGGTGATATTCAGAATAAATTGGGTGGTTCTGGCTACAAAAAATCTTGATCTATATCGGAATGTGGTATTTGATTATATGAGTAACATACTAGATTTTTATTATTTATTTACAAATGGACATAAAGTAGCATGTTCACCACATGAAAATATTCTCCGATTTCAACCAAATAACGTTATTCACATGCAATATTTTTACCCTAACTTAACGGGGTTAGTTCGATCGCAATTACGTAGATCACTAGCTGACGATGTTAGACTGGCCCGGATGGTCATAAAATACGACTCCCGGGCCCTTAATATGTTATTTATAACGATACTATCGTCTCAGGCGTTGACCGAGTTTTGGGTCGAGACTAATAGCGAAACCAATGTGTGGTTTACGTCGCACTCGTTTCGACGTTTGAAACGTCAATCCCATGACTGTATCGAAAATAGTGACCCCTTTCCGGACGACCTGTTTTATATGAATTTTTACGAACATATAGCTAATACCGAGTGTTTTGCACGACTATTGAACGATACGTTTGGGTGCATATCGGTGCTCGGATACGCGTATTTCTTAAACATTGATAAATATATGAGCGTGGCTAATTTTGATTATAGATTTTGTGAGCTAGACCTTGATGTTGGTAATGATACACTAAGGAAATATATTTATGATCAGTGTGATAAATACCAGAATTTATGTAATTATGTAACGCTACAGGCTCATCCGTTAACAGTGAAATCTAGTTTGAATTATACCCAGGTTAATATAATCCCACTGAATTACATAGAACATAGAATTGTTAGCGAACAATTGGCTATGGATTACAACGATTTAATCTATAATATTGGAGGCACTGTAGGCATGTGGTTAGGATTGTCCATGCTATCATCACATATAATTATGGTGTATTTAATTAGATACACTAAATTAATTTATTATACTGTAATTTTTAATTTTGAAAACGATATATGATAATGATGACCTTTTATGTTAAAGGTAATAATTAAATAATTAAATCCACAGTATTACAGTATATCATTATGAAGTATAATATAAAAATTGATGTTACTTTATCAATATTAATAGTTTGTCAATTAAAAGTCAAATATTTAATGCATAATTAGTTGTCACGGTTTAATAAAAAAAAGTTATATACCGTATATTTAATTAAACTTTTTTTGTAATTAAGAAAATTTTATTACCAACAAACTTGTCACTTGTTATATTAATTAATAATTAATAATTAAGCTTCAATGTTACCGATAAGTATAAAATTTCAAATTATTAAGTTATATTTAGAGGTTTAGATTTTTAAGTTGCAATTAGTCTAATTATACAATTAGTTATTCAATAATAAATAATTTAATTTCTAGTTTAATTTGCAACATAGTGCGTACAAAATATTAAGTTATAATACGGTAATTTTATATTTTCAAAAGCATCCCGGCTATATTTATGCAAACTATAGATAATAATATATAAAATTAATTATCCATACAAAGATGACCAAAGACATGTGT